CTCCAATAACCAATTTTCGGGCTCAGAAAACAACCAAACGAACACCACACATCCAAGGTTCGACTCAAAACTCCTACACCCGATTGCTCCAAGATTTACATCTCCACAAAGGAAATATGGTGGTGGTGATGGCAAGCCCACAAAGGGAAGAAGGAGAAGAGAATAATAATGGTTAGAACTCACCTAAAAATCTACCAAACCATAACCCGATTGCCTCTCTTTCGGCTCATCTAGTCTCCACTCTCTTGCACACACTACACACTCTAAAAAAAGGCTGGAATGGGATAATAAAAGGGGGTCAATTAGGTCACTAAAGTTTGGGCCAAAACACTCCCTCCAAATGGGCCAAAGTCCACTAAATGGGCTACCAAATAATTCTCATAACCAACCACATAAATGGGCTAACATAATCATCCAAACTCAAACTTGGGCCATCCAAAAGTATAGGTCGTTTTAGAGTCCAGCCAAGTTTAAAGTGTCACTAACATAATCCGACAACTGTTTTTCATCATCGCCCAGATTTATTGAGTATAAAAAAACCCAACAAATCTCCACCATGATCCTAATAAATCTGCAAGCAAACAAAACACATAGTTTATACTTGCACAATCAAGGTAAGCAATAAAATTAGTATCATAAACCTTACCTCGTGTTTCGCACCTGAAACACATACCATACATGTTTCATATACTCACCAGGGCTAAGATCAAGAATACCCAAATAGAAGCAAGTAATCACAACAATCAATCAAGAGCAAATAAACATGCGACGGAGATATCATATAGGATAATACAGATATTTTCAAACATGTTCACACAGAACAACAGATTAACACCAAGTTAATCAACGGGTCAACACATACGCAACAAATGCATAAATGACCTATCTCACCACACTTATCCTATCACATTCCGTGTTGCTCACTCCTCGAGAACAAATATTTCACCTCATCGCCCACCTGCTCACTAAACTAATCACACAAACAAAACATGTCTAACTGATAAGTTTCTATAGATCCTAAGTTCTCGGGATAATCCTCTATCACCACATCACTTTTCCAAACTAAATGGATAATGGGTCTCCACCTAATAGAAGTGATAGAAGTGTCTCTCTCACACTCCACCTGATCAGGGTCTCTTCCAAATAAAGGATTCCAAACATTTGATCATATCTCCAACGTGATCCAAATGTCACACTCCACATCCCACGATACAAACCACAATGTACACCTAGGCATCTATACTCCACCTTACTAAAAGACATACACACTGCTAATGCATCCCAAATCTACTATAGAAAATCAACACCTTTCGACGATCACAAAGGTTAGGGCTCAATTTAAATTCGTCCACACATCACAAGGTTACTCCAATTACCAACGCTCAAAAAATTCACAAATGATTAATCCCACAAAGGGAAGGTGAAGGTGGCACTCGCAAAGAGAATAAAAGAAAGAGTTGGTTACTTCACTACACTCACAAAAGAGGCTCACACAAAGAACGAAAATAACCCTCACAAGCTGCCTCACACAATCTCACAAACCACACAGGCTCACAAAGATGAAGGAGAAAATGGCTGCCCTTCTAACTACTCACTACCACACTCTCTCACACCACTTACAGAGCAAAATGGAGTATACCATAGATCTCAACCCACAATGCATGCAAAAAATTACACCAAATAATAAGATCGCTCCAATTCATGCCAATGCACATATCAAACACATTGAAAAATGCACATATAATCATGCTACCAAATTGAGCAATCACACACATGCAGAAGGAGTTACACACAAATGCTCGTGCAATAACTAGGTATACTGTCAATAAACCTCACACAGGTTATCACTCGACCAAATGACAGAATTTGCCTCACCACTCTCATCAACTTTCCTTTTATTATCATTCCTAAAACAGTCTATTTCAACCATGTCCAAATTACTACAGTTAAAACACATCTTAATTTTCGCACTTACCTTAAATTACATTTGCCATCAAAAGGTTTTTTTCATTTTGTCAAATTAAAAAATCACAATTTTCATTAAAATATACACAACTCATAACGTGTCGTCATTTTACCAAAAAATGCACAGAAGACAAAATGCAACCAACAACGACCATAAGTAAAGTACTGACACAGTTCTCAATGAATAGTCAAGTAAACTTTCCTAAGGTCACATGCAATTCTAATAATGAAAAAATTTAATCAGCAACTAATTCACATAGAATTCAAGGCAAATAATTAACAAGTAATTCATAAGTCTAGTAACAGACAATGATTACCCCTTCACGGTAATCCCAAATCTAACATCACCCCACATGATGACTTCTAATGCGAAAAATAAATTATCATACACAATAATTATAACTGCAATAATAAAAGGCGAAGAACACGATACCGAACAGATCACGTCTGAAGGTCTGTAAATATCGAGAGCTGCAAATTCACCATTTTAGGACCGTCACCATTCGTCCTAAAGTCTCCAGCAACCGTGGAAATACAAAACGACACTCGGCACCGAGCGTCCAAAGGGCAAAACCGTCCAACTTTCACGGTATTGTCCAAAACTAAAATCCGACAACACCGCAGGATCCGTCTTGATGTCCTGGAAAAACTGCCTGAAGAAGTCTTCCCCAAAATCCAACCCCAATGCCGCCACAGGAGCGGCGCGTGGGCTTCACACGCCAATTACCCACACACTCCTCTGCCTGCTGAGTCCGCCGGTGGTGTCCGTTTTCTCCAACAAGTATGTGGTTTGGCCGGAAAACGTATTTACAGGTCCTGTAGGAATTTTTCAAAACTGCCCAAATTTTTTCCCTGTTTTCTGGTTCGATTCTGGTCGATTTTCACCCAAAATCATAGATTTCTCTTCCACCCAAGCTTTGATACCATTTGTAGGATTTTGAGGCTCCAATAACCAATTTCCGAGCTCAGAAAACAACCAAATGAACACCACACATCCAATGCTCGACTCAAAACTCCTACACCCGATTGCTCCAAGATTTACATCTCTACAAAGGATATATGGTGGTGGAGATGGCAAGCCCACAAAGGGAAGAAGGAGAAGAGAATAACAATGGTTGGAACTCACCTAGAAATCCACCAATCCATAATCTGGTTGCCTCTCTCTCTGTTCTTCTCTTCTCCACTCTCTTGCGCACACTACACTCTCTAGAAAAACGGCTGGAATGGGAGAATAAAAGGTGGTCAATTAGGTCGCTAAAGTTTGGGTCAAAACACTCCCTCCTAATGGGCTAAAGTCCACTAAATGAGCTACCAAATAATTCTCACAACCAACCACATAAATGGGCTAACAGACGATCCAAACTCAAACTTGGGTCTAGCGGTGGCAAAAAAGCTCGGAGGCTCGGACAGCTCGGGCTCGGCTCGAAAAAAGCCCAGGCTCGGGTTGAGCCCCCACTTTGGGGAGTCGGCTCGAGCCTGGGCCAGCCCATGGCCCGGGCGAGCCACCTATTTAAAAAAAAAAAAAATTTTAAGGCAGCTAAGAAAAAGTAAAAATAAATAATCAAAAATTCCGAGCCGGCTCAGCCCGCTAAGGCTCAGGCCGGGCCTTTTTTTTTTGGTCGGGCTCGGCTCGGCTCGACTCGGTCCAAAAAAAGCTCGGGCTCGGCTCGAACTTTTTTTTTTCGGCTCGGCTCGTTGAGATCGCTACTTGGGTCATCCAAAAGTATAGGTCATTTCAGAGTCTAGCCAAGTTTATGGTGTCGCTAAAATAATCCGACAACTGTTTTTCATTATCGTCCGGATTTATTGGGTATCAAAAAAACTCAACAGAACTCAAACCAACTTCTGGTTCTACCGCAAAAGAAGGGCGAAATAATGTCGATTTTGTTAAGTGCGCCCATGCGCGCTCTTGTGCATCGTCAAGTAATGACAGCCAAGTGATAGCAGAACTATGGAGTTCAATATTTTGCATCATTGAGTGGTGCCAACCATAGAATAGAATGTTGAATTTTTTTCCCTCTCCACCCTTCCAGTAATTAATCCAACTCTTCCATCCATGATTTCTTCGATCTCAAAACTCGTGTAATTAGATTCACACAGAAACCAGCAAGTATTCTAATTAATAAAGACACTCAAGATACAGAAGACTTCATACATTGTCAATTTACAGAATGAGTTCAGCAGACATAAGCAACAAAAAGGAGCATATCCAAACTTCCTCTCAATAACTACCTAATCATATTTACACCTTCTCAATCATAGGAAGATCAAAAAATGGCAGCAGCTAATTTTCAAATGTATACTATATTAAATATGCAGATTTAGCTGATGAAGCATGAGTTGCAGAGGTGAAAATCTTTCATAATTAAGCACATTCACGACGACTAGAAGCCCAAAGTGAACTTAAATCCCGAAGACGTTGAAAATACTCCCCTAGAGCAAGGAGGCCCCGAGCTGCTTGACGAGTGTCAAGGTTGAGAGAAATCTGCTTCAATGTTTCTTTGCGAAGATGATCTGCCTGTTTGCAGGACACCAAAAAATGAAACAAATTTTGACTAATGTATTGAGGTTTGCATACATATCCTAGATATTTAGAGTTATAGACATCAACCATTACATATACACCATCTTGGACTCTATCGCTAATGGTCTTTAATTATTAAAGAAGGGATTTTGAGGGGAAATAAAACATTTAAAATTGAAACCAAAAACAAAATAAAAAAAGAAGGCTACTCTTACAAGACATCCCAAGAAAGGGGCATAGAAGAGTACATACACGTGCAATGTGATAGTTAGAAAATTCCCTTGAGTTTCTTTCAAAATGAGGATGGAAAAGGATCCACGAATTCAGTGGTAGGCTAAGCATCAATGTTTGAAGGAGTGAGAGTTGTTTCGTAAGAAAAATTCTCAAGTCCAGCTCATTTTAGATAGCTTTTTAAACAAGATATGGTTCTTGTGGTTATTAAACCTTTATTTTATTTCCAACATATAAAGGCATTTTGGTTAAGCTGACACAATGAGCACGCACAATTAAAATTTTCGTCACTACCTTTTTTACGATTACTATATGAAGCAGAATGTCACAATATAAAACACGTTAATATTCACAATTATGGCTGCTCCTGTCAAGAATATAAAAGACAGACACTAAATAACACATAAATCAGAAAATCAAGTCGCAACAATGTATATTACCTGAGCCACAAACCTCACCATTGCATCCAATTTATCCATTGCAGCTCTGATCTGCGGTAGGTAGTGTCCTTCACCCAGTTGACCAGCTGCTACAGTCTGGGACAGAAATTCGTGGAGTTTCTCCAATCCCTGTGACAATGCATCTTCTGCTTGCTGACATGATTGTCCAAGTTTGATAAGCTCCAAACTTTGTTGCTCTGCTAAAGGCTCAAGATGTGGCATGAGAACCTGTTTATGAGAATAATATTACGGGGAATCATGGATTTAACATTTGGTGAACAATTTGATTAAATTTTTCGCAAGTCCCGTAAAATGAGCAGAAACAACTTATCTTTTAATTTTTATCCAACTGTAGAAAGTATGGATATCATATAATCCATGGTACATTTGTTATGGTTTTTGCACGTACACGCTATCATTAGTTGAGGACAACTCATATAGAGAAGAAAAGGTTGATTTTAATGACAAGGAAGAAGAGGAAAGAAACAACGAAGTTGGGGATGTAACAGTAACTTGCCCAACTGTTAAATGTAAAATGACAAGATTGGGAGAGGACACTGATCGAGATGAGGAACTGGTTTGCTGAAGATTAGATAAAAAGTTAGCTTATCCATATTGAAATCCCGGACAGCAACTCAATCTTTGAAATCAGATCTTGATATTAGCATCTAATTATGATCAGATGGAAAACAAACAAGAAATTGTCCAATGTGTCTAGCTATGAACTTTTGGATCTGGACAACTTCCTTTGAAATCATATAATTCTATCTTAAGTGACTATTCAGATTCCAAGAGCCGGCCTCTATTTTAATCAGAAAAAAGAAGGTAAGAAGTGCATCACAATCCGGACTCTGGAGGGAAGTGTGAATTACCTTTAAAAGCTGTGATGGTCGAAAGCCCCCAATCCACGATAAAAAATGTTCTGCTGACGTTTTCCACGTGCCAGACATAAGATAGAATACATCAGCCCTTGCAGCTGTTTCTTTCATAGCAAAGAGATCAAAATAGTGCTTCATGCCATCTTCAACAAAACTGCTCAATTCCGCATCCCGAATGTCAGAATACAAAGCATTTCTCAAATCAGCGTTTTTCTTATTTTGTTCTTCCACCCATTGTCCATATGCCATTTCAAAGGTAGCAATACCTGGAGGTCAACGGATAAAGCTGATTGTGGGTACAAGAAATTGAAGAGAAGAACGTAAAGTGTCTCAAGAGAGAAAGAGACTTGTGAAGGTCAAATGATGAAACTAAATCAAAATAATAGGCACTCCCTTCTATTAGAAGTTATATCAGCAGGCAACTTTTAGAAAAATATCACCTTTTGGATTCATTTACAGTAACATATTTTCAAAACGGAAGAAACTTTCACATTATTTCTAAGAGAGCCAAATGCTATTACTTTTTAGAAATCTATTATATGAAAAATGGCACACATTTTTTTGGATATGAAAACTGCTCTGGTATAGCTGTTTGTTTAGCTTGTATTTCTCATTTTGAAGATACAATACATTACCCAATCAAACAATCTAATAGACACAGAGAATCTATGTATGGGTGCACATCTCAGCAATGAATTTCTAATGAATTTATCGACACTCCATACTAAACCAACTATGATTTGTTAAACTGTCTCTATATGACTGGAGAACAAAAATCAGAAAGTCGTTAATAACCAAATGCATATAGCACAAAACTACTAAATTAGCTCTGGTTATGTGCAATCAACAGGTTATTAAAAAATTTGAGCAAAAAAAGGTTCAAGTTAGGACAATGGTGGTAGATAAACCTACAAACCTGGGTTTGTAGTTCCACAATAACCTAGCTGACCAGTATCTAATCCACCACCCATATACAGCCCCTGCAGCAGAACATTTTCTTGTTGGATATCTTTTCCTTTGAATACCAAAAGGAGATGAGTATTGAAAAGTACTGCTCAATCTCAATGGAAATGAATCAAAGTGGATAAATAATGATGTGGAGAATAACAAACAGTCTTTCTTTACCTGTTGCCTAACCCGTTCAAGCTCCTGTTCTAACTGCATAAGTCTCAGTTTACTATTTTCTAACTGCTGAACATAAGCCTATAAAAATGTGTAGAGATAATTTAAAGTCTGAATACCAAAAAGTTGCATGAATCAGAAATAACAAATTCGTGTCTAGAAAGGAAGAAAGAAAAATAAGATGTCAAACTTCACATAGGGGTATTTACTGTAACTATCTCCACACCTTCTTCCTCTGACGACATTTGCGAGCAGCCTCGCGGTTCTGCGCTAGGCGTCTCAGTACCTACAAATCAAACTCAGTTGTCGACAATTTTGGACATCTATTCACTATTTTAAATGCTATCAAAGAGAATTAAAATGCAAGGACCTTTGGATTTGTCAGAGGGATAAACAAAATTCCAGAAAAAATTAAGCCTCCGTTTGAATACAAATTTGTAAAGAGTTTATATAAATATAGTCAAAGTTAAACATTAATTTGAACCACACATTTATAACTACTACTCATTATCATCCACACATTTCATGGGACCCACTACTATTCCTCCTCATAAACCATTTATAAATTTGCCAAATGGAAGCCAAAAGGTTGGACTTTTGGATTTAAGGGATAAATGAAATTTTGAAAAGCATTAAAAGGTCGGATCCAAGTCAGGATTATAGCATTGGTGAAAATTGACATTCAAAGTATTACTCACCTACAAACTCCACACTTAGATCTGTAAAGAGGTTAAAAGTTCTAGTAGTGGCATATACTGGCAACCTTAAAATTTTTCACAACAATAGAGCTGCACTACCTAATGGCAGAACGAATTGCTATATTACAGCCAAGAAGCTGCTCCAGCATCTCAACTTTCTTACTTTTAACTGCGAGAGATTCTTTTTTAACATTTTCTAATCATCTATGTGTGTGTGCATGAAAGTGCATGTCTCCTATTAATATTTTTACAATTATAAATATAGAAGAAAAATTTTCATCTTATAAATAGATGTTCTCATCAGAGTACCAACAAAATTATAGGATTAATATGAATAAACTAACAAGCTGTAGTTTAAAAGCATTACTAGACAAGTCAAGTCACTGATAAGTGATCTAAGGTACCAATACATGACATAAACTTGTCAGAGTAGGCTTATGGAATGCACCAACTTACAATAATTCAGATTCAGGATATATGCCATGCTTCAAAACAACCAAAAAGGATCACGAAATGGTGGAAGTAAGTGAACAGGATTGCTCGTGTCATTAAAGGATTTCCATTATAGTTCTATTGTAGAAAGCTTTTGGATGTAGAAAGAAAACACGAACAAGAGGTTCATACAAAGAGAAGAAAATAGCCACTGATATGAGAATATGTGCTCACTAATCAAACAAAAGTGCACAAAGTAACACAACGATGTCCTTACCTTATCAACTGGTTTACTAGCTTCTAGGTCATATTTATTGGAAGGTCCTACTGTTCCATGTGAAGTATCTTCTGACTGGACATATATAACACATTCGTTGATAAAAATGTGTCAAAAGAACACGATGTTATGTACGAGAATAATAAATAAATAAACTGCACCTGGTTGTCAAATCTAGAGTCGACCAGAATAACAGGTGGAGATATGTCCAGAAAGTTATTTTCTCTATAGTCATTCCACATGCCTATTTGAGACGTAGGCTCATATAAACCCATCCTTCTTGTGGGAATAAATTGTGTCGATGCAGAATTCATTCTGTTTTAACTGTCTGTCAACAGAACTCAATGAGCTACTAACCTAATTTGATAATTAAATAAATCAAACAAGAAATACATTCTGATTTTGAAAACATGGCAACTTGAATTCAGATCATGAGAAAAGCAAGGGAGCAACATTGAACAATAAGACTAGAGTTTTGAACAGAGAACTTGACTGAAATTCTATGCATGCACTTACTACTTTACGTTCCAAATTTGATTATACATAACAGATTCTTTGATTTGATAGTTAGCAGCATATGCAACGAGCAATATAAATCTTTCACCAAATAAAGAAGGAACGAACAAATAAAGAACTAAATAGACTTGCTACCATTGCTGAAGTATATAAAGTTTCACCAAAAACCCGATAAAAGCCCCCATTCTTGTGCAGAGTGTAGTTAAGTCTACACGACAAGGGAACAAAAAGGGCCTTGCTGAATTTATCACTTTAGCATTGTCTTTAATTTCAAGTGTATACTACTGAACTTGATAAAAAAGACTTGCACAGCAGGAATCCATAAGTGTAATAATAAATAACTAGTCTTTTTATAGTCTTTGCATCAGAAAGTTAGAAATTCACTGCACCGGTGATGATTAACCATAACATCTCTTCTTTAAGAGAAGAAACAAAAGTTTCACCAAAAACACCTACAAAGCAAAACTCCACTCCAACACATAACAGATAACAGATAAATCTAATCCATTTCGAAGCTTAAACAACATTACCAATACAAATCAATCAATGATCCTTCCAATCACTTTGTAGTCCCAAATAGTATCCAATACTACTATTAGAAGTCATCCCTCTCTTATTTTCATGAACAGAGAACAATAAAGAAAAAGGTTCCCAATAACTCTTGTTTTCGCAAATACCTTTCTCTATTATACAAATCAAAAACAACCAATCAAACTGAATCTTGATTACATAGCCAAGCATAAGCCTAAAGCACTTGTTTTTGGGCTAGTAGCCATCAAAACAAAAAGAGAAATTGAATCTTGATTACATAGTCAAACTTGAGTCTACACACAAATAAACAAACAGAAAGAGTAAGAACTGAATCATTCTACATATACATGTGCATAAACTCATAAAAAATGTATCAATAAGAAAAATACAGGAAGAAACATCAACCTTAAATAATACTGGAGAAAACCCAATACGAGAATTAAAAATTCACGCTCAGTATGCAGGTTTCCACAGAAGAAACTGAAAGTAGACTACACTGTTCAAGAACCCATCTTCCTCCATGCGTAGTAGGTTGCAGTGAAGAAGAAGAATCGAATTTGAATATGATTGTGAACGCAACATCTTTCCAAAATATTTATATTTAAATTGAAATTTTAATAGAATATTATGTCACATAAATTATATGTAAGTGGGTAAGGGTGGTGAAAAGATATTATAATTTGTAGTGTCTGTATGTGTGAGTTATCGTGAGCTACAGTCAATGAGGAATAGATATTGTATTGAATGGTGTTTGGCCACAATTTCTTCACTAACAAACAAGCAATTAACGAACCATGTTCTTTGTTGTTGTGCAATCTGAATATGCGCACCAGGTCACTCTCATTACATCTTTAGCTTTTGCTCACTTGCCCCCCTCCACAAATGTCATCGCTTCCATCCCATCCTCATATTATATTGTTGAATTTGAATTTACATATCAAATTATTTCATTGAAATGATGTATAGTTGAAAATGAATTTAAAAAAAGAAAATTAAAGAATAAAGCTCAAATTGGAGATTAATATAATATAATTTTTAAATATCTGCTGATTCAATTAAATTTGTATTCACAGTAATGATCAATTTGCACATTCATTACAATGGAGTACGATTTTTCATATGTATTATTAGGGAACATGTTAATGATATGGTTTTAACATCACGATTGACATATGCCTAACACACCTTGCATGGTTTGAATGATGAAATTAGTGACATGGCACAATAATAATCAAGACTTTTTAAAGTTATATATGTGCAACTATTATGTCAAATTTTGGTGTGACGGTCTAATGGACTTTTAAAAAAAAAAAAAAAGTTGACTTAATTGAAATAAAAATAGAAACTTAGTGCCTCAATTATAACCAATTGAATTTCAATGACCAATTTGAAATTTCCTATGAACTTCTTTTCTATTTTTTTGTCCCCTTTTTCTTTTGTAGGCTCCCCAAACTCTAACAAGTCAATCATAACTCATAATTATTATCCAACAGATATAATCTATAAGGTGGGAAGTTGACATCCGCGCATATGTAAATTAGTCAATAATTATTAGAGGTGTATTAGTTTAAATCAGACCGTCCAAACTCAGAATAATATGATACATAAATAGGTGCCCCGGGCATGACGCAGTGGCAAATATGTGCCTACGGAGTATCGAATGTTCGAATCCCCAGACAGCTGAAATGCAACATTTATGTTGAAAGGCAACATCTAAATGTTAGAAGGTAGAGGTCCACAAGGAAGAGAACCGTTGAATGTCTAATTCAAGTGTGTATAAGTTGTGATCGTATATCTTGATTAACCCGAGTTGCGAATCAGGGGGGATGGTCGCTACTCCTCAGGATTAGTTTGGCGAATCTTGAACACCTGAATCATCAAAAAATAAATAAATAAGTAAATATATATATATATATAGGTTGTTCGGTTAAAAATTGTGAACGATCTCAAATTCTCACCTAGTTAATTTTAGACCTCTAGTCGTAATGCAAATTAATCGCGTTGGATCCATATAGATTAGCTACTCTCTGTCTTCCAATTTTAATAAATATTAATTTTTTGTTTTCCTATCATAATATAACTCAACATATGGTTACTTAGACGAATGATACACAGTCTACTCACGCAATCGAAAAGACAGATTTCTGGTACAAATGGATCACATTCTATCCACTAAAATCAGATCCTAATCTCTTTCTAACTTTTCTCTTTTTTCTGGTAAATATCCTCAAAGCTGTTATATTCCAGTGTATTTTGCCTTTTAATACATGTATACAAGTCTTTTAATACTACTTTTTCAACATCTTTATTTGCCTAACCTCAACCTTTCCACCTAATGACCCTTCAAATCCTTTAAGAGGCATGGATAACCTTAAACTTCATCGAGTTGCCAAATCATCTTGTCTTTCTACAATTGGCTTAAATTCAAAGAAGTCTTTTTTCTTTTTTTTTTTTTGTTTAGGACAAAAATTTGAGTTTAGTATTTAATTTTATATTTATTTATTGATTTTCTTTCATTAATAATTTTTTTTAATTCTTTATATTTTTAATTTTACCGACTAAAAGATCGTTAGTAAATTATTTCTTTTAATGTTATTGATTATCGTCGGAATCTTTTTTAAGCAAAAACAAACACAAAAATATGAAATTTTGAAATTGAGAGCCTTCGATAAATAGGCTGGAATATTAGGCGAATGCTAAACTAACCTCATAAATGAGTAGACTTTGCCACCTACCAGTCGAAGAGGCTAACATCTTGATAGCTTTCACAAATGAGGCATTCTCTTAATATTCTTTAATCTAAATGGATGGCTTTTCACCGATAAGACTCAACAAAAAAGATTGAATATATCCAGGATTGGAATAAAGAGTCAAGTATTAATACTAACGCATCCCTCACGTTTGATACACTGAATTAGGTTGTATAAAGGATTTAATAAAAAAATTATAATGCATAGTATTAGATAAAAGGTTGACACCCCAACTTTAAGGGCTCCTCACCGCCCCGCCCATAGAGCATTGTGGAGGAGGTAAATTGCGGGATGTGTCTCAGCAGACCAGGGTACAAGAGCTACCATACCGATGCCCACAAAGAGTCCAATTCCACACCTTGTAAATTGTATTAGATAGTGTATTAAGGTGGATTAAGGTGGACATTTTTTTTTATTATTCAAAAGAATATCAATCACAATATCTTCATTATCCGTTCTATACTCGCCTCCAAACCTTCGAATTATGCTATACGGTTGATTAAGCAAATGATAATCTTTTTGAATGAAAAATCAAAGAACATATTATCGACCATAACGCCGTCTACATACTACTGTCTATCATAATTTTATAATAAATTTCTTATACAGTCTAATCTAGTGTACCAAAAGTAACTTGATTATATTCTTTTGGCTTAAGAAGATTGGCTTGGGTAGGAAATGAAATGATCCTGAAGCAGGTGTCCAGTCCACCCATCAGTAAAAATGCCTTCAAGTAGAATAGTCAAAGCCTATCAGATCATGTTAAAACCATGTTCTCAAGCAATTCAGCACTCATTTATCCAAGAGTCAACACGACCAATGAACAAATGTCTCACATATTTTCCTTATCCATTCTTGTCGAGCATTCTAATCCGCTCTTTATTTTAAAATTCTTTATTTTTCATACTTATTTACAACCATATATTTACACAATAAAATATTTTATAAATAAATTCAAAACGTTTTCCTACTTTTAATCACACATTCTCAAAAAAAATCACTATTCAAAACATCATTTTCTCTCAATTTCTCTTTATAATGGCCATTAAGTCCTTGTTTGATTGCTATTACTTTCAGGAAATGGAGTTTTGAATTGTGATTTTTTGGAGAATGTGAGGTTAAAAAATAAGAAAAAGTTTTTGGTTTACGTGTAAGATATCTTATTGGATAAATGTAGTTGGAAATAAGTATGAAAATTAAAGAGTTTTAAAATAATGGTTGTCAAACGGTGGCAAATGTGTAATTATTAATTGTTACCACAAATGTTACCAAAAACTATCCCAGGTAACACACTCCTATATATTTTCTTCGAAGCTTTTTTATTTTTGTTTAAAATACTTAGGTCATATTCTCTTTACAATTTTCAAGTCGTTTTTTTATTTTTGATTTTCAAAAATAGTGAAAACGTGTTCTCTTTCCTATTTTCGAAAATGTGTTTTTGAAAA